TTCGTGGTTGCGAAACAAACTGACTGAGCTTGTGAACTGCGAAGGTGATATCTGGTCTTGACACGGTTAAGTATAGCAGACGCCCAATTAATCTTCTATACATAGAAGCATCTTCCAGCAACTCCCCCTTAAAGGAGTTCAATCGAACTTTGCTATCCATGGGAATCACAGCAAGCTTACAACCTAGAAAGCCAGTATCTTCTAACAATTGAAGAGCATAATGTCTCTGAGAAAGCACAATCCCAGTGTTCGATCTGGAAATTTCTAGGCCAAGAAAAAATTTAAGCTTCCCAAATCCTTAAGCTTAAATTGACTGTGAAGAAATGATTTTAAATCATCAATAATGCTGGAATCCAAACCCGTGATGACAATGTCATCAACATAGACTAGGAGGGCAACAAATGAAGTACCAGAACCTTTAGTGAAGAGAGAATAATCAGATTTTGACTGACAGAAACCATGAAGGAGAAAAGCCTGAGAGAATTTAGAAAACCACTGTCTCGAAGCTTGTTTCAGACCATAGATTGACTTATGCAATCGACAGACCAAAGGCTCCCCCTGTTTGCAGTCCCCTTGTCTGCCAGAAGAAAAAGAGGGTGTATAACCCAAAGGCAAATCCATGTAAATTTCTTCAAAGAGGTCACCATGAAGAAATGCGTTATTAACATCCAATTGAACTATGTGCCAGTTTTTAATAGCTGCTATGGCGAGGAGAAGCTTGACAGTCACCATTTTAGCAACCGGAGAAAAAGTATCCAGGAAATCCAAGCCCTCTTGCTGAGTAAAACCCTTCGCAACCAAACGTGCTTTGTGACGTTCAATGCTCCCATCAGACTTAAACTTCGTTTTATACACCCATTTGCAGCCAATGGTATGTTTCCCTTTAGGCAAAGTAGTCACAGACCAAGTATTATTCAGCTCCATAGCATTAAGTTCAGCAATCATAGCATTTCTCCAATGAGCATCTTTCACAGCTTGGTGATAAGATTGTGGTTCCAGAGTGGATGATATGTTTAAGATAAAATTTCTATGAGATAAAGAAAGCTTGGAATATGAAAGATAATGGCTGAAAGAATAAGGATGAGATGCGGAAAGGAGAGATGAGGAAGGACCTGAGAACAAATTGCAGTGAAAGTCCTGCAAGTAGGAAGGAGTTTTGCTATGTCTGATCGAACTTCTGAGAGCGGGTACAAAAGATAGAATATCACCATCAGAATTAGGGATAGAATTACTATCAGGAGGAGCAGGTGAATGAGGACTGAAGGAAAGTCTATTATTGGAATCAATATCAGGAGATGATGTAGCATCATTGTTTGGAATAGAAGAAGACACATCAGGGGGATAATGTCCATCAGTTGGTAGATTGGAGACATGAGGAAAAGGAAATATATCAGATGACATAGCAGGATCAGAAGTAGGCAGAACAAGGTCAGGGAAAGAGTCAATGATCTCAGGTGAGTGAGAAACAGAATGAAAGGGAAAGATATGTTCGTGGAAAATCACATCTCTTGATATAAAAATGGATTTAGCAACAATGTCGTATAGTCTATACCCTTTAATGCCAGGGTGATAGCCAATAAAAACACATGCTTTTGCTCGAGGATGAAATTTTAAACGATGAGCAGTAATGGTGGATGCAAAACATAGGCACCCAAACACCTTGAGAAAATTAAAATCCACTGGAATCTGATATAACAGAGTGAATGGTGTCCTGTTTTGGAGTAATGGTGAAGGAGTATGGTAGATCAGGTAAGTGGCTGTTAAGACACAATCACCCAGAAAGAGATTAGCACCTGTGATTGGAAGAATAAAGCTCTTGCCACATTTAGTAAATGCTGGTGTTTTCTCTCAACCACAGAATTCTGCTGAGGACATTCAGGACAAGAAAATTGATGTAGCACACCTTTCTGGCTAAAAAACTCTGTGAACTTTAATTCAGGAGCATTATCAGTTCTGAAGCCTTTGATAATGGTATGAAACTGAGTTTTAATAAGCTTGAAGAACTTAGGAATTATATCATGCACATCAGACTTCTGTTTCATCAAATAAACCCAGGTAAATTTGGTGCAATCATCAACAATGGTTAGGAAAAACCTATGACCATTACGAGTGGGAGAACTGTATGGGCCCCAAACATCACAATGAATGAGGTCAAAAGGATTAGAAGACAAGCGATTATTTGAAACAAAAGGCAACCGTCTTTGCTTGGCAAGAGGACAGACATAACAAGGAGTAAACCCACTCTTATCAGTGGTAAAAAGCAACTGATCTTTTAAAGTTTCCAATCGTTTAAAAGATAAATGTCCTAACCTATGGTGCCAGATATGAGAGGTCACCTTATTGGTTACAAAACAAGCATGATCATGAACAGAAGTAAAAGATTTACAATCAGTCTTTATTACATCAGAATTAACAGAATTTGCCTTAATGATGTAAAGACCATCAACCACATCAGCTTTGCCAATCATCCTCCAATTGCACTGGTCCTGAATAGTACAATAACCAGTGAAAAATTTGACACTGATATCGGAATTCCTTGTTAAAGAGCTAATGGATAAGAGGTTAAACTTGAATTGAGGCACAAACAACACATCTTGAAGAATCAATGCAGGAGTGATCTCAACAGTCCCAATAAAATGTACAGGTATCTTGACTTGATTAGGCAATGTAATGTAGGCATTTTCTACTGATCTTAATGTTTTGAAAGATGCACGATTGAAACAAACGTGACTAGTTGCTCCAGAATCAATTACCCAATGTTCAGTTGAATTTAATATCTCATCATTCAGTATAGACAAGCATATACCTGATACATTGTCTGCATTAGCACTGTCATCTCCTATCTTTGCAGCAGTAAGGTGTGTGCTTAACATATTCATCAAGTGCTTGTATTGATCAGGATTCAAAGTTTG